ATTAATAAACACAACCACTAAGATGACAGCTTTCACATTTATGGAGGTGGCAAAAAAGAAATTGCCCACTGTGCATCAGACACCACTGTAATTATTTCTAATCCTCACAGCCCTCTCCATAAGCGGGAGTTACTGTCCTCACGTTAGCAGTAAGGAGACCTAGATTTCAGTAAGTCTGTACCCAAGGGAGCAGTTGTAGCTTAAGTCCACAATGCCAGACCAAGCTAAAGAACAGGTTCTGTGACTCTAGCTCTATTTTAAGTGCAAATACTGAGCTGGCCAAAAAGTCCATTTACTTTTTCCAATAAAATAGAAGACATATTTTTCATTTTCACCAATAATTTTATTGATTTGGATACTTTGAGTATGTTGGCTATCTCCCTGCTATTGGCTTCTAGTGGGTAGAGGCCAGGGATGCTGCTAAACATCTTCCAATACGTAAGACAGCCCCCACAGCAAAGAATTATATGGCCAAAATGTCAGTAGTACCAAGAAACTTAACAAACCACTTTTGACATGTTCAGTCAGTCACAACACCTCCATACACTGCACAAATCTTTTTGGGTTTTTTTTTGCATTTCAGTTTTTACCTTTTTTGAAATAACAGAGCATAACATGGCAAAAATGTTATCTCCTTCCATCTTCAGTATTAAAATGCCTGTACAAAAATTCACCAATTTTATGGGGTTTTTTTAAATGCACACTGATAATGACAGCTGTCAAAATATAGTCGTAACAAAGTTGCTTTAAATTAGTTAGACAACTGAGCACTTTTAGAGCCATCTTACAGAAAAAAATTAAATGAACTTTCTGGGCCAACCCAATACTTTTCCTTTAGAGTGTTAGGATAAACTGAACTCAAATTACTATATATAGAAGCTTATGGCTCTGGAAGCTTATGGGTGCTGAGTAGTTATACTTCTGTATTTTCAAAACTCTAAATGCATTTATCTGTTTACCAACTTCTCAAATACGAATTTTTTTTCCTTTAGCAGAACACTGTTAATTGCTATTTCTGTATGTTTCCTCTTAATATAAAAAATATTTGTTAAAATAATACTGAGAGAAAGATCTGTTTAAGTAACACTGCTACAGTGCATTTTCAAAAATGGGAAACTTAAATTGGGAGACTGCCAGTTTTTATGTGCTACAGAGAAAGGATAACAAGGGAAGATTGGTCACTGGAAACAGTGGCTTCTGTGACCATGTCTTTGTGCCATGAAGCAAGTAAAACCAGACCATAGAAACACAGCAAAGAGCAGGATAAAGGCCTTGCCTGTTTTTAACTCTAAGCCAAGTAATGACTTACACAGACAGATAGTCAAGGATATCTATCCTTCATTTTGTTATTTGTTCACACCTATACAATTGGCAAGTATACTAATGGCTAGTAAATTAAAGTTAGTCCCCATTTTGGATATAAGTCTACTTACTAAACTCAATAGTGTATTGCACCTGTATTGATCTTGGTTTCCTTTTTCTTTTAGTCTTTCCACTTACAGCCTACTGGGACTCCAGGTACCTACCTACTTCAAACAAGCTCAAGCCAAGGCCTTCCCCTCACTCTGACTGCTAGTCCCACAGTAACTGTGACAGCTGCTGCTCCTGCCTCTCCTGAACAGATCATTGTTCATGCTTTATCTGTATGTTACCTTATGTAAATTGATTGATTTTTCTAGTTTTTGTAAAGATTGGCTAACTGACAAGCATCACCATGTTTTTCTAGTTTTCAGTACTGTGATAGAACCCATGTGCCTTTAGTAACAATATCTCGGGGTGGGGAGTGTGTTTTGAGCTCAGTTCAACTATTTGAGTACCTATTAGGGACCAAGGTTAGTTGATATAAAATATAAGAGCCAAACTAATACAGTCCATTCATTTAAACAATTTTTTGTACCACTGTTGTCCCACAAGTAATGTTTTACATCTTCACTCCCTGTGTCTCCTTACATGTGATAGACTTGAATTAGGGAAATAGGGACATTAGCAGAACAAAGGCCCGTGTCTGGAAAACCGTGGTAAGAGCACTGCAGTTCCAGAGGTGGGGGTGGGGAACAGTAGCCCATATTAGCATCTATAAATGTCATTTGTTGCCTATAATTTGACTATGGTATAGGTATTTTTATTTTGCCATTGACCACTTTTTTTTAACATTTTATAGCCAGAGCATTTGTTGAACACAAGTGACAATGTTACAGTGCAGTGTCATACACCAAGAGTCATCATTCAGACAGTTGCCACAGAGGACATCACTTCTTCCATATCCCAAGCAGAACTGACAGTAGATAGTGATATTCACTCATCTGATTTTCCTGAGCCTCCAGATGCCCTAGAAGCAGACACTTTCCCAGATGAAATTCATCAACCGAAGGTGACTGTAGAGCCATCATTTAATGATGCTCATGTGTCCAAATTCAATGACCAAAATAGCACAGAACTGATGAATAGTGTTATGGTCAGAACAGAAGACGACCTTAAACAAGAGGAGGAATCACCCTCTCATTTAGCCTGTGCTTATGTTACTGAGGTAAGTTGCATTTAAGGGAACAGCCTATGGGTTCTTCTTGCCGTGAGAGTCAAACCTGCAGTTTGGAAAGAGCGAGCCTAGAAATAATATATGGGGAGATATCCTGTGGTACTTTATTTTTTCTTTAGCCACCAAATAAAGTGCAAACCCACCTCTGACCTCCCAATATCAGTCAACCAGCAGTGCTGTTCTGTCTTACCACACTGTTCCTCACTCACTAAAAGCTTTCCCTTGGAAATGTTTGCTGGAACCCATGGAAGCACTTTCCTGAGGGTGGTTAATAATAGATCTTTGTGGTTTAGCTTAGGAACCGCATGCTACAGAAAAGCATTCTATATTCAGGGGACCTATAACTGAATTGGTTCTTATAAATTTTTTGTTAATACGTTACAGTATAAAGTTATTACTTTTGTCGATTTTAAGACCTGAACTTTCTTTATATTTTAATTTTAAAATGGGATAACATTTGAAAGTTAAGTCCTTTCAAACCTAAACATGTTTGGGATCTTAAGGAAACCTATGAAGGAATATGAGTCAGAATCTCATTTTCTTAAATTATTATTTAGGATTTAGAGTCTTCTGCTATACAAGAACAAGTTGATCAAACAATTGATGATGAAACGATACTTATTGTTCCTTCACCGCATGGCTTTATCCAAGCATCTGACGTTATAGATACGGAATCTGTCTTGCCTTTGACAACACTAACAGGTACTGTAATACAAGTCCATCATGCGCCTGAAAAGTCTTAAAGAGAAAGTCAGGCAGTCACATAACTTAGTTGTTTATGCCTTTCTTGACCCAACAATGAAGATTGGTCTTGTTAAATTTTGCACTTCGGTAGAATACTCCCTTTAAATTCTTGATGTGGATAAGGGAATATGTACATTATATACATTTAAGAGTAACTTGAAACTTAACTTATTACAGATCCCATACTCCAACACCATCGAGAAGAATCAAATATCATTGGTTCATCTTTGTGCAGTCCTGTTTCAGAAGACTCAAAGGATGTTGAAGACTTGGTAAACTGTCATTAGGTAATTCTTCGAAACAGGTAGTTCAAGCAAAGAAGCCACACTGTTAATTACAACATCTCCAAAGAACTAGGAGGAATCCCCAAGAGGCTTAACTTACCATTCCTCTGGCTTTTAAATAGCTACAGTGCTTGAGCCGCATACAGTGTTGCTGCTATGACTTTTTACCTCCTTTAAATATGTCATCTGAGGTCTAGTCTTATGAAAGTGTAGTTGAGTGGAGTATGCGTGGGGGGTCTTTGACTACATAGATCCCTGTGATTAGTGCCATCAGTTAGTAGGGAATTTCATTCACTTCAGCCACTGAGAAAAGTTTAAAATCACCAAAGCTTAACTATTTTAAAAGCAGTAATATTCATCTCTAAAGATCAGATGTGAGTCTCTTTCCAATCTCAAGCAGACCTGTTTATATTTGAGAAGTTACAGCATGGTGTAGGGTTTATCGGTGTGACCTTCCTCAAAAAGATGATCATCACTATGAGACTTGACCAGCATACCTAGGAGGTGACTGTGCGGCGGTTACCTTGGGTTTACTGATGGCTGGCAGTGTGAGCTGACTGAAGCTGGGTGAAGAGGAGAGCATTAAGAGTTAAGAACATTCACTACAGGTTTTTTATTACGTTTAAAGGGAATACGGATGGTAGTAATATCAAAACTCAGAGTTTTCACCTCAGAACCCACTGTCATCAGTTTACAAAATTAGCACTTTGAGGTGAAATGAAATGGGAAGGAAGTTCCCTATCCTCTACTGTGACCGTTTCTTACATGTTTTTGCGATATGAATTCACCCAGAAAAATAAGGAGGGTATCAGAGTTTGCTGTTCACTTAGTGCATTAGCTGGTGAGGGTACGATAAAATTTCTCCCTCTCGGGCAATTTTAAAAAACAAAATTTGCTTCTGTAATGAAATAAAATATAAGTTGAGTCATTCCTATACTAGAGAAGGTTAAACCAAAACTAGCCTCTTAAAGCTTTAATGCATATGACTCTTATAGAAAAGTCACAAAAAAAAAACCTTGTATAAATTATTTTATTTATTATTGTAATTAGATCTTCACAATCAAAGTTGTCTTTTCACCGTCTGTGTTTTGTTAACATGAAATGAAATTGTAGTTATAAGCAAGAGTTGGTTGCCTAGGGAACAATAATTGTACATTCAGTTTAACAGAAATAAAAGAATATTTGTCTTAAAATGCAAGATTGTTTGTTACATAGCCTTGCGCCATGCAATTACATTATAAAAAAATTTTAATTTCAATTAATTTCAAAAGTGAAAATTACTTGTGCTGTTTGAGCTTTAAGGGATGGAATGTTTAAGGGCCATATCACCTCGTTTAAAAAAAAAAAGCAAAGTGATCTATGATGTATCTCCCCTGCAAGAGGGAATTTAGGTTTACAATTTGCATGAAAATCATGTATCAGACTTCCACAGTTGATTCTTCAGCACACCTTATCCAGCTTTTATTCACAGTCTTACATACATAGCTTTGAAGAGACCTGGTAAGTATTTTCGCCTTGGTAGCCTCACTTTCCCACATCATGGAAGTACAGGTTCGCACATATACATAACATGATGATAGAAAATAAGATATAGTAAATTAGATTTCTAAATTTCGGTTCTAAGTCTCCTTGTCGGTACCAGTAGATCTAAAAGAAGAAGAATTAAATAATAGTTTAAGTAACAGCCACTGACTGGGTCGAGTATTTAAAATACAACTAATTCTTTTTTCCCCCTAAATGAGAGTCTTTATGTTAACCTATATTCCTGAGACTTGATGCAGCCAGAATTTAATTCTTACTCTTTATGATTCAGGTAGTACCAACTGAGTTTCCACATTCAAGATCATACTATTCCTGCTACTCAGTTAACTGTTCTATTTTAAAATCAACAGCATTCATCAATCATTTGGCAAGCCATCCAAGAATATATATCTTCTGGACATAGTTTAAGTACAGGGTGAACAAAAGTGGGTTTACAGTTGTTAGTACATCAGTTTATTCTTGTCCACAGGAATAACTGTAAGCCTACTTTTGCCCACCTTGTTTATTTGAATAAAAGATACTTCTTTTAGATAGTGGAAGGGATGACAACTTTTAATTTCAAGTAACATTCATATTGCCAATACAAAATTGGGCTTACATATGCATGTATTTGGTTTAAACTAACTCACTTCTAGTCCCTTCTGGCTTTAGGCTGGAAGTGGGAGGAGGGCATCTCTGGTAGCTTTGTTCCAAAGGCTGCCATAGTGGTGACAGCCAAATTCTTCCCTCAGGTCAGAGTACAGCAGAATCAGTGCATTAGAAGCTGGAGGTCTCATTTAATTTTAACTCAAATGAGCACATTGCTATCACAGTTCAAGTCCTGTCTGAGTCAAAACAATTGCCTTTAAGGGCTTACTGTTTTGATTCTGCCTCATCAAAGGAAACTGCCAACTAACTAATGACTGAACACTGGGCAAATAACCCAACTGAGATCTACCGCCATCTTTGTTTCTGCACTTAAAAGAAAGGCTTCTTTGTGGCAAAATTGAACACTGTTGTGACAAGGATACAACTGCAGCTTTAGGTTCCTCTGGAGAATTAGTTCCATTTGGAGAGAAAAACAGATTAAAACACATTAATTTTGTAGTTATTAGAAATAAACCCAGCATGCTTGTGCTGTGTCTCTTCCCTGAAGAGCAGTAATGGCAATCCCTAAAGCCTGGCGGGCCCTGTAGGTAGTCCTTGAAAGAAAATGAATCAAGTAAATTACATCAAATCTTTGGCCACCTGAATCCTGTTAACTATTTCTTTCCCTCCATTTCTTACCTATCACGAGAAGTTTCTTTTTAGGGTTACAACTCTGGGATTTAGGAGAAAAGAAACTCAGATTAAAAAAGAAAACACTGCAATTAATACTGAGAATTTTGACATCCTTCGGGGTTTGGGGGTTTGTAATTAGAGATACCCTTTCATACAGACCCAGGGCTGGGAATCTGTCCTAGGCACTGCAACCTCCAGCCCTCAAGGATATGCAATTTAAATTCTAAATAGTACTCACAAGTATGCAGGCAGTAATAGTACTCAAAGAGATGCAGACAGCAAAAAATATATTCAGTGGTTTTGGAGGTGGTTGAGGGAAAACAAAAGCACTGATCAGCGTTACCTGTATGAAGAGAAATTATGTCAGGCCTTAGGAGTAACTCCAAGACTTGGTTAGACTGGAGTCTAGGCAATGCTAATTATTACAAAATGCTTCACACTGTAAAATGGTATTTACCATCAGATCTGCCTTATGGAATGTTAATATGTTTAATAAAGGATTTGTAAATATGCTTGATTGTGTTACTTTTAGTACTTGCTCTTTCTAACCTCCTCCTCCTCTATGAAAGGAGACAAGACAACTCAGGAAAACTAGCCTCAAAATAACCTCTTCATTAACAAAGATTAAAAAGCATTTCAATCTCATTCCCAGGATTAATGATTACATTGGGAAAAATTATAACCTTTTTATTATTTTGAATTCTACAACAAAAAAATATATAGCCAAAGCTGTTTTTGCTTAACATTATGAAAATGGGCTAGAGTTGTTTCTGCCATAGAGACAGCAATGTACCCATTCTTTCTAAGAAGTCATGGAAACAAACTTCCCTAAAGTTTTCTTATATTTAATGAAAATGTGCCACAGAAATGTCACCCTCAGACTATAGGAAATAGACCTTTGCTTTTTATTTTATTGTGATAGCACAAAGCTTTATTATACAGGGTGAAAAATCACTATATGCTGACCAAATCTTTTTAAACCAAAGTATAATGAATGTGCTTTAAGAAACAAAATAAATTTAAGATATTAACAGAGAAATGGGGAGTTGCTGGTAGCTACTGACATGTTACATGCATACTATGCAAGCAAACCGCAAATTCAGAAAGCTAAGTTACTTAGCTCACATAATCAACTGGGGATGAAGGTTGTAATCAGTTTTATTCCAGTTACAAACTGCAACTTTGTTGTAATAAAATTAAAAGCATTAATGTAACTAACTGGAATACTATGCTGCTGATACACTGGCCCCTTAGAAGTTTGTTGGTTTAGGGAGGGGGGGGTAGTTAATTGAAACACAATACTCAAGTTTTCAAAACTTTGGCTAAGAGCCTGGGTAAGACACAAAGATACTTACTAGAATCAATAAGGATGTTAAGCTGCCAACAACTAAATTGATGATTCGATCCTGAAAGAGAAGAAAGTTTTTGAGCTATATGGTGGATCCATTACACTTTCAGGAAAGTACAACCTAGGCATTGCATGATTAGAATGAAGAAACAAAGATCCTGCTCCCTCTTTATATGTAAATACAATTTCCAGAAAGGCAAAGTGTACTCAGCCACCAGAGTGGGAAAAAGGTACTTTGGGAAGGCGGACAACCAACTGCAAGTTCCTTGATGGGACAGGACATCTTTTACACTAGAGTCTTGATGATTAAGAAGAACTGAATGGAGAAGGGAAGCTTCCAAAAAATCCATGCGCTGCTGTGAACAAGCCAAGGGCTGAAATTATATAACCATTTTTACAGAAGAGACCCAGGGGCAAATATTACTCCCACTCAGGACAAATTTTAAATTGTGTGTTTGACATATATGTGTATACAGACAATCTATTACATTGTTTTTGCCTTGTGAAAAAGGTTCAGCTAAAATCTTACGGTCTATTCTGAGAAGTCAAGAATATCGGTGCCCATCAGCTCCAGGATACATACATCTGCATACATCCCAACAGTCCTCTTAGAAGAGAAAGAAGCCAGTAAAGATGTTCAGGTGAGAAGCAGCCAAGAAGAATTACTAATCTCCAAACAGCAAGTTGCCAACCAGGATCAAAAAGGAGGGGGGAAATATACATGGTGAAGGGATAGTAACTATGCCAGAAGTTTTTGCCTATCTCTTCTAAAAAATCCTGGCATGAACAGGTATTGTAACTATTTTACAGATAGTAAAACAGCCCCAGGGAAGTTGAAAACCTGTATTACGGGGTGAGGGAGGGAAGGGGGGATTAGAAATTCTTATTAACAAAAGTAAGCACATTAGATCGCGAGAAGAGGCAAACTTTTGAGTCTTAACAAAAGCTTGTTGCGTGGGTCTGTGCAGATGCACGGACAGAAAATGCAGCTACTTCACACACAGTCATTTCTTACACTTCCCCATAGAAAAGCTGAAGATACTGTATTCCCAAAAGAGTGAGGTGTGGGGTGGGAGTTGGAATGGCTGACATGCCACACTCCCAATCTGATGGCTCATCTTGCAACTCGAACACCACCTCTCTGGTAAATCCTTTCAGGACGCCAGCAGGCTCACACCCCTCCTCTCGGGATGTGAGATGTTCCTGTCTTGGGGCTCTAAGATCACACTGCCCACATTACATTTCCTGCACCAAAATAAAATGTGTGGCCTGTCTCTTCAATTAGGACTTGCAGTTCATTGAGGGTGGGAAGACAGCCTACTTGTTTTCCCTAGAGACTGGCAGACTGGCACACTGTTGGCACTAGCTCAGCGATGGCTGGTGAAACAAGAGTCATAAACAGAAGTGGCCAACAGCATTTTCCTTACAGGGCCTCTCACCGACACGGGCTTCCCTCATCGCCCCCCCGACGCCTGGCTTGTCAGAATTCTCGCCTTCTGGTCAGAACAGCACGTGGCCTTGCCGTTCCACACCGGCCACCCAGCAGCACAGCAGCCAGGGCCTGGTCCTGCCCCCCAAAAGGTCATGTTTCTGCAGCTGCGAAGGCCCACCACCCTAATGGAGGCTCCCAGGCTAGGCTCCGCTGACTCGGCAGAAATACTAAGTGACCCGCAGGCATCTCCAGGGGCAGGTTGCCCCAGCACGGGTGCCAGCCCCGTCACTTGTGTTCTGCTAGAGCAGGACCAAGCACGGGTTTAGAGGCTCCAGCTGAGGAACTTGTCCTTCCCGCCCTGGGAGAAGCGAAGCAAAACTAAGGAAGCTCCTTGCAGGAAAGGAAAACGTTGCATGGTCAAAGCCAGGACGACATTCCCTTCCACACTCTGGAGAGGTGGGGGCAGGGGTTGGGGTAACAATGAAAATTCCATTTTTTATTTTACTTCTAGCTTTCTCTGCAACATCACAGGCAGCCCTATAGACCCACATCCTTCCCCAGGGCTCTCAACCTATCAGGTCAGGCTTCACACGCCACACCTGCAAGTCCTGTCTGCCACCCCCACCCCCACCCCCCCACCCCCCGCCCTGGAAATCTGCCCCACGTGGGCACTCTGCTTCCGGGACCACGCCACCCTTGCTGCCTCTGTCTCTCAATGTTCTCCGCAGAAGAGCTCCTGCTGCCCACGTCTCACCCCACAGTTGCTGGGCCAGGAGTCGGGGGCAAGGTGCTCCCTCCCGCTCCCCAGGCCAGACTGAGAGGGCACTGTCAGTAACATCCTCTGCTACGATCTGAATGTCTGTGCAGCCCCCTCCAAAATCCACATGTTGAAATCCTAAAGCTCAACATGACAGGATTAGGGGGTGCTGGGAGGTGCTTAGGTCATGAGGGTGGACCTCCTAAATGGGATCAGTGCCCTTATCAAAAAGGCTCCACAGAGTTCCCTAATCCCTATCAACCTGGAAGAGGGCCTTCACCCAACCATGCTAGCACCCTGATCTCAGGCTTCCAGAACCATTAGAAAGAAATGCTTGTTGCTGAAATCAGCCAGTCCATGGTATTTTGTTAGAGCAGCCCGGATGGAACACGCTATCTTCAATTGCTGAAATGTATGTCCCCAAGTAGGCTCATGACGACTTCTTCCCTTCCTCTTCCAAGTTACCTCAATTACTTCAGCACCTCCTTGGCCAAATCCCTCTTCCTCCTCGGTCTCCTCTACTGCCCTGGGTGCGCTCTCCACCCACCACCACTGACTACATCATCCTACTCTCTGACCTGAGTGGCTCCCTTCCAGTCTCTGACCACGAGTCAGCAGTTTCAGCAACACACAGAAGTCTCCCTGGTGGATATGTTCATCTGCTCTAGACACTGAAAACCGAGCCCCAAGTCGCCCTCAACCCCCGAACTGCTTCTACACTCGCTTGGGTGCTAAGCCTTGCTGTGAAGGCCTGCAACTGTCCTAACTGCCATCTACTTTTCTGTCTCCTCCTGTGCCCTATGAGGTCTTGGAGGCTAAGGGCCATGCCTGAGTTGTTCACTGTCGGATTCTGGGCCACTGCACATGGCTGCGTGGCAAGAATCCAGCCCGAGGCTGCACTCTCCCGGCTGTGTGCCCACCTCAGGCCTGCATCCGCCCAGAGGCAGGGGCACGTTTTTTCAATCAAGACAAAACCAAGCCACGTGACTGAGAGAGATGCCATTACTTGGAATGGAGATTGTATGAAGGTGTCACTGTATTGGTGGGGAGTGGCACTGGCTGTTTCCCTCTACCAATCACCGCTCCCAACACAGATTAGATGCTCAAATATAAGCTGAAAGAACAAACTAACTGAGTTCATGACAAATTTGTGTCTTTGGCTAGGCTTTCAATATATTTCCATGACCTTTTATTTTGGGTTGACTGTTCTCCTCTCTCCAGAAAGTGGTTAGAAGCTCCACCTCAACTCTGGTTCCCAATCCCACCCTTAAAGACGGTGCAGAAATTCTCACCTTGATGGTAAGCATTCATTCTTCACTCTTTTTACATGCTAAGTGTTAGGAAGTTAGGAAGAAAAGAAAACAGGGTAAAAGAGTAATAACCAGGATGGGGATGGGGAACGTAGTTTTAATTAAAAAAAAAACAAATCCCCTCTGAGAATGTGACACTTGAACAGGGGCCTTTACAGGAAGAAGAAACGGGACATGCGAGGACCTGGGAGAAGGGCATTGCAAACAAGCCAGTACAGCAAGTGCGAAAGGCCCTGAGGCAGAGGTGAGCTTGGATAGTAGAAGGAAGAAAAAGAAGGCCAGGATGACTGAAGCTATATAAGGAAGGGAGAGAGAAGAACAAGAATTTAATGCCTTTCTATCTTTCCTGCAGTACATACATGCTCCATGAGGAAAGGTATACTATCCAGCAAGGAGCATTTTCTGGGATGTAGTATGCACATGATTAATAACAGAATAAAAAAAAAATACACATGCACACTCAACAACTTACAGCCTCCAGAAGAAAATCATACTCCTCAGCACAGCATTCAAGGCTCTCTACCCAGCCCTGCCTATCTGGGACCCTGCCTCCCCAGCTCCAGGCTCCAATCACAATGGGACAATCACATTCCCTCACCAGTTCCTGAACTTCCCTGCTCCCACCCCTGACACCAGCTGGACCTCCTGCTTGGGATTCCCTGTCACCTCTCTCTTCCTGTGAAAAATCTTACTCCCGTGCCCAGGTCTAAGATTCAAAAGCCCTCTGATCTGCCGTCCCCAGCAGAACTGCTTCCTTCCTCCTGCTCCCTGGCACTTTGCTCATCCTTTTATGAAAGGACTCAATGCCTTTTAAATTCAGTACTTATTATCCCCAGCCCCCCTTCTTCAGGTCTTTGAAGATAGTAATTGTTTTCTCTTGTGACGGAGAGAGAAGGCAATCTATCCAGCGTGTACGACAGGTCCAACGGGCACAACCTTCCCACCACTGTTAATCTAGAGGGAGTGATTCAGAACCTTGAGCCACTTTCGACAAGTTTGCAACTTTGCATCAAGTTCTGCATTTCCCAATCCAAATTAGGTTCCAAAACCGTAAATAAAAGTCCAGTTCTCCGAAATGACATTCCTTTTCTTCTCCCAAATCACAGTGGAAAACTTGTCAGGTGCCTAGGGGCAGCCCTTTAGGAACAAACCACCTGAGAGGATGCAAAATGCAGGAGAAGGTTTGGGCCCAGCTGAAGCCAGAAACCTCAGGCCTTGCCGGTGGGTGTGACCTGGTTCCTCCAGAGGTACACGGCTCTGCCCACGCAGGAGCTTCCCCTCCCGCTGTCACCAGGGACGACACTACTCCCCTGTGGAGAGTGAGGCGATACCTTTTCTCTGGTCATAGGTACGACTGTTCTGAGACTTCAGAGGAACACCAGACTGACAGGTGCCAGAGGAGGAGTAAGAAAGGATTTACGAGATGCAGGCACCCACGCCCTGAACTCTCAGGGCGCCATGATCTACTCTGTTGCCTGGAGCCCTTAACACAACATTTCCCTCATTTCCCTCATTTGCACAGACAAAGTCAGCGCATAGACATTTTCAAATGTTTCCCT